AATCAGGAACAAGACAAGGATATCCACTGTCTCCACTCTTATTCAACATAGTCCTGGAGGGGCTGGGGATTTAGCTCAACAACACAGCCATACTTTTGTATTTAGCACAAATACAAAAGCCATACTAAGAAGTAAAATAAACCAGACGCATATGTGTAAGCATTGTATTGTCTCCCTAATGTGAGAAGCTGAAAGAGTAAATAAGATCCCAAATGTACACTAGATATTGTAAAATGGGAAGAAACTTCAAAAGGAAAAAGAAATGAGATAGAGAAATGGAGAAAAGAAGGAAGGGAATAGCAAAAAAAAAAAGAAACCATATATATACAAAAGATAGTTAAGATAGTTATACTACTGATTTCTCTTAGTTCATTGAAAAGAAAGGTTTGTGCTAACATTGTTTGGACAATTAAATGCTGATATCTTGTACTCTGAGTAACTAATTTAAAGATAACAATATGCAATGTATTAACCGTTGTTACCCTTCTATTCTCTTGTTTTAAAATTTGAGTTTTTTTTCTCTTTAACATAGAAAGATTGACGAGAAGGATGACAATGGAAATTCAAGGGACCCAGAATAGGCAAAACAATCTCAAAAAGAATAAGGCAGTAGGACTCACATCCCTTGATTTCAAAACTTTTTTTTTTTTTTCTGGAGACATGGTCTGGCTGTGTAGCCCAGGCTGGCCTTGAACTTGCAGTGCCTCTCCTTCCTCAGCCTCCCAAGTGTTAGGACTACAGGTGTTCTCCCCCACAACTGGCTCTCTGATTTCAAAACTTTAATGCAAAGCAATGATAATAAAGTCAGCAGGGCGCTGGCATAACAATAGATAAGAATATATCACAAGTATAGAATGAGAATACAGATAGGAACCCTCACATTTAGGGGCAATTGATTTTCAATAAGGATGGCAAGACATTTAAGTAGGGGAAAGAATAGTTCTTCCAACATTCAGGTGGGGACAGTGAGAACATCCATCCATATGCAAAATAATGAAAACTGAGGTCTTTCACACCATATACTGTAAACCTTTGTGAACTTGGTTTAGGCAGTGATTTCTTAGGCCATGATTTCTTAGCTATGACAGCAAAAACACAAGCAACAAAAGAAAAAGCACAGATATTAGGCATCATCCAAATTAAAAACTTTTGTGGCTCGAAAGACTCCATCTCAACAGGGGCAATAATATGAAGAGGTAACCCACGGGGGGTGGAGAGGTTTGGGATTCATACATCTAATCGGGCACATATATCTAGAATATATAAAGAACTCTTACACTCAGAATAAACAGCCTAGTTAGGTTCTGAATAGACGTCTCTCCAAAGAAGATACACATGAGAAGCTCAATGTCACTACCTATTAGGGAAGTGCAGTGAAACTCAAGAGATTCACACCTCCTAGGATAGCAATAGTTGCTTAGGATTGGGAGGATAAGAAAATTGTGGATGAGGCCAGGGATATAGCTCAGTGGCACAGTGCCTGTCTGGTAAGCATAAGGTCCTGAGTGTGATTCCCAGCACCAAGAAAGAAAGAAAGAAAGAAAGAAAGAAAGAAAGAAAGAAAGAAAAAGAAAAGAACATTGTGGAGTGTTTTACTCTGTTTTCTATTGCTGTAACAAAATACCTGAGGCTGGATAAGAAAAGAGATTTATTTAGTTCACAATTCTGGAAGTTCAAGAGTATGGCTCCACTTGACTCTTCTGTGGGTTTTATGGCAGATGGCATCACAATAGCGACAGTGTGTGCAGAAGAGCTCACATGGAGAGATGGAAAAAGAAATTCGGGGGTAATGGTAACTCTTTTTCTTTCTTTTTTTTTTTTATGTTGTCAAGGCTGATCTCATACTTGTGGGCGCAAGTGATCCTACTGTCTCAGCCTCCTAAGTAGCTAGGAAACAGGTACATGCCATCACATAAGACCAAGGCTCATTCTATTTATTTATTTATTTATTTTTATTTTTATTTTTTTGAGGCAGGGTTCCACTATGAAGTCCAAACTGGCCTTCAATTCCCTTTATAGCTCAGGCTGGCCTCGAACTCACAGCAGTCTTCCTGCCTCAGCCTCCTGAGTGCTCATTCCTTTTATAACAAGCCATTCTTCAGGAAACTAATTCACTTCTGAGAAATACCCTCATAAAGACCAGCACTGGGGCTGGGGATTTAGCACAGCGTCAAAGCGCCTGCCTGGCAAGTGCAAGGTCGTGAGTTCGTCCCGGTACCCGAGAAAAACAAAAACAAAAAACAAACAAACAAACAAAAAAGACCAGCACTAATCTCTTCCCAGGGCAGCACCGTGAGTGTTCTAATTACCTTGCATTAAGCCTTACTTTTTAAAGGCTCCATTGTCTTTTAATACTGCCAGGACCAATTTACCTTCCAACACACAAACCATTGGGAGTTAGTTCACATCCAAACTATAGCAGGTAGCAATGGTGTTATGGTTGATACATTGTGTCAACTTGGGGAGTCTATGGAGGTTTGACTAAGTGACTCAGCAGGAAGCCAGGGCTTACTTTGTATATACATCCTGAGCCTGTGGAAGAGGAGGGCATGGAGATTATGTGAGAGCTACACGCCCCTTAGGTGGGGGTAGCCTGTTTACAAAGTAAGGCAGAAAAAGAAGCTGCTTGCCGCCATTCCTCCCTTTTGCTCTGGCTGCATTGCTGTTCGGCTGCCATTCCCCCTTGCTCTTGTTGCTTTGCTGTCTTCTGCCTCGGAGCCAACCAAGTATGGACTGAAACCTCTACAAACTGTGAGCCAAATAAACCTTTCCTTCCTTTATTTTGGGTGTTGGGTATTTTGTCTCAGCAACGAGACAAAAGTAACCAAGACAGATGGCTAAAAGTTTCTTTTTAGAGTGATGAAAGGGTTCTGAAACTGTGGTGATGTTTATGCAACTCTGGGACTGTAGTACTAAAAGTCACTGTTGCAGTTAGTGTGGGCAGCACCACCATGCTTGGCTTGACTGGCCTTGAAATTGGCCTGGGTGAAGCACTTCTGGGTGTGTCCGGGTGGGTCATGGAGGCATGGTCTTGGGGTCTATATGGCCCCTAGCCCTTTCCTTCTGGCACCATTCCCCTGCCCTGCTTCTCATTTGCCACGAACTAAGCAGCTGTGCTTCGCCAGGCCTTTCCACCATGCTGTTCCTGCCGTGGAGCCATCTATGAACTAAATCCCCTGAAACTGTGGGCCAAAGTACACCTCCTCCTTTAAATTGTGGCTGTTGGGTATTAAGTCCAGCAGTGGGAAAGCTAGTACACTCACTGAAGTGCACACTTTTTAAATGGATGACTTGCATGATCCAGGAATTTTGTTTTGTTTTTGTTTTCCTTTTTGAGACAGGGTCTCCCTATATAGCCCAGGCTGGCCTTGAACTGCTATGTAGTCCAGGCTGGCCTCAAACTCTGTGTGATCATCCTGACTGCCTCCTGAGTACTGGGATTACAGCATGTGCCACCATGCCTGGCATGATTTGGGAATTACATTTCGGGAAAGCTGCTACCAAAAATGCAACACTAATAAACACTCTGTTAACATATTTTATGAAAATTATAATAGTTTCCCAAACAAAAAACAAAAAGTGCCATTGTTTAACGTTTTTGCAGATCTCTTTAATGTCAGTATTTGTTTTTGATACAAGGATTAAACCCAGGGCCTTTGCACTGAGTTATATACCCAGTGGCTTTGTTTTGTTTTGTTTACTTTTTGACAGAGTCTCACTAAATGGCCAAATTGCCCAAATTGGACTTTTGATTTGTCATCCTCCTGCCTCAGCCTCCCAGAGTGCTGCGATTATAGATTTACAGCCCTATTCCCAGCTTTAGGGTCAGTTTAAAAGAAAACTACAGTTCTCATACCTGCTCCTACATGCAGTCTGTTACATTACACATCGTGTAGCCATTTTGGAATATTCCACTTTACACTAATAAATGAATGAAACTTTGAAAGGCTAATAATTTTGAAAGTAGTTTTGACGTTGTACACTGCCTGTGAGTCTTAGGGATCTCCGGGAACCACAGATGACACTTTGAGGACCATCACTGTACTGTAAAATTAGTAGCTTCCTTTGCCATCATGAAGGGTCCTTTAGGGAGATACTCTGGATTGTACAAGTACCCGTTTTATTAAACTCCCACTTTCCATTGTGCGGCCATTGATGACTTCTGTCCAAATCTATTATTACCAAGATGGGTGTCAAACTGGCTTTCCGCATTACTCTTTGGGCATTTTTTAGCTGGCTTTTGGACACAAACTTTTCCCTTCTCCCCGCTTACGTATTTACCTCAGTACCTCCTTATGGATTTTTAGTTAAGGTTATAACAAGTGGCTGTCATTTATTCTGAATCTCAAATTTCCCAGCCTTTGAAGTGGGGGTTATTGGAAGGGTTCAAAGAGATTCATAAGAAATTTTTGTCGCCTGGCTCAGGAGAGTGACGGGCCTAAGTAAGGACCCCTTTAAACCCGCGCTCCCCTTGGTAAGCGCGGCCACGCCTCGGGGAGGGTGCTGGGGCGGCCGTCGGGCCCTCCCTGCCCCGCCTCCCAAGCCGAGAGCACCCTCAACCCCACCCGGGCTCTATGTCCCCGCTGTGGATCCGGCCACCGCCGCGGCCGCTCGCGGCTGCCCAATCCGGGCTTGGTTCCGCCTCCTTCGTGCGGAGGTACCCGCCCCCGCACGCCGATTGGTCTGGCCGTCCGCTCGGCGCCGCGCAGGAAGACCCGGAGGAGCGGCTCCGCGGCTCGCTGCGCATGCTCGCCGGGAGCCCGCGAGAGCCCGGCTCTTCGCAGGGGCGCGCGGGCACGAAGCTCGCTCCCGAAGGGGCAGGTGGGGGTGGGGAGCGGGCGCCGGGGTGGTGGTGGCTGGAGCGGCCTGGGCGGCCGGGTCCATGCCTGCGGCTGCAGCAGCCGGGGTTGAGGCGCCCGCCGTGGCTCCGTCGCCGGAGAGGGAGGGCCCGGCCGCCGTCGGTGAGGACGGGGCCCCGCGGGCGGGGTGGGTCCTGCGCGGACGGACGCCCCCGCCCGGCCCTCCCGGACCCCGGGTTGGTGCTGGAAGGGGGAACCCGGCCATGCGCCCCGGGCCCGGCCCATCTCCTTGTCGGCCACCTGCAATTCGCCTCCTTTCTACTAGCTCCGCCTCCCCCAGCCCAGTCGACCCCTGGACTGAATGAACCTCACACCCCCAAATCAGGGAGCCCCACACTCGCCCGGCTTCCTCCGGCCTTGTCTGCCCACTCGGGTGCATCCATCCTGCAGCCTTCCAGCCCCGTCCGGTCTGGGCATGCGGAGGTCTCGGTGACCTTGCACTTTTTGTGGTCTCCCGTCTCCTACTAGTTCTGACTATGGATTGTCCATTATGGCTTTCAAACTTTTTTACTGAATCTACACTGAGAAATATGTTGAAGGTGCATATCCTGTGCCTGTAGGTATAGTTACTGAGCCACAAGTTTAAAGGGAGACGCGCAGCCCAGCGCACATGACGCAGATCTCTTCTAGCTCTAGTCTAATTCATTTCGCTCCCTGCTAAAAGGCTTTTGCTTTTCGTCGGTACAGAATGGGTCTGGCAGCTTGAAGCCTTGGTTTAAACCCTCCTTTAGACCTTACCTATGGAGGATACTGCACTGTCACAATCAGATAATCACTGTAAACTTTAATTGCAAAGCAAGGTATGTTTTTATTTTTACATTTCTGCCTGCCAAGGCCAATATGCTTTCTAGGGCTTGGTTTTGATTTTCTGGTGTGATTCTGTCAGAGTCATCCTGTTCCCCTTCCAGATGCCACTAGTTGGACTTACAGAAGAAACTGTGAGGTTGGAGCTGGGCCTGAGCTCCTCCAGGGCTGAGCTGCACTGAGGGAGACGATTTTTCCTCAGAGGCATGGAGGGAGTGAAGCTTTAGGTAGCATAACCTGTCGGTTATTCCTTGGAGAGGATGGAGAGGCTAGGTGTGCCCGGGTTTGGTGTGAGGAAGAGGCGGTGAGGAAGGAAGGTCTGAGATGACAGGAGGGGAAAGGAGATGGAAGGTGAGTGTGAGCAGGTCTGAAGGGGGTAAGACTGAAGGACACACTAGGAGCAGCAGGGGCCTGGGGATTTAGCTCAGCGGCACAGCGCCTGCCTGGCAAGCACAAGGTCGTGAGTTTGATTCCCGGTACCGGAAAAACAAACAAACAAACAAACAAAAACAAACAGAAAAAACCACTGGGAGCAGCAAAGGAGGAGGAAAACTAGCCAAGATTCTGGCTTAGGGGGATGGGACAAGGTATTAGTCAGCTTTCTGTCACTGTAACAGAAAACCTGTGGCAATTAAAGAAAGGTTTATTTTGGCTCATGGTTTTGGAGATTCTAGTCCAAGATCAGACCCATTGCTTTGGGATTCTGAAAGTAGTGCCACATGGCAGTGGGGAGCAGCCGGCTTACCTCATGGCTGGAAAGCAAAAGAATGAGAAAGGGCTGGGGTCCTACTGCCCCCTTCAGGAGCACACTGCCAGTGACTTAAGGATCTTCTACAAGGCCCTCTTGTGAAAGGTGCCGCCACCTCCCAGTAGCATCACCCTGGAGACAACCTGCAACATACGGGTCTTTGGGGAGCATTCACTATCCAAGCTATAGCAAGGGCTGGGGGTGGTCTCATTAGCTGGAATCTCCCTGCCTTTCATTCATTCATTCATTTATCCATTTTTGAGATAGGGTCACTCTGTAATTTAGGCTGGCTGTAAACTAACTGTTTGATCCAGGCTGGGCTCACACTCTTTGCAATCTTCCTGCCTCAGCCTCCTTCATATTGGGATTATAGGTGTGCACAACAATGCCCAGCTTGTACTCTCTGCATTTCTAAGTTGCTTTGGAGCAGTGACTTTCAAGCAGTTTTTCCTTTGAGGGGACTTGTAGCAATATTAGTTGTCAGAACTTGGGAAGGCCGGCGGGGGCAGAATGGTTGTGATACCGGTATCTATGTACAGGTAAATGATGGGATTCTGCTAAACATCCTACAATGAACAGAACAAAGAAGTATTGAAACCAAAATGTCACTGATGCCAAGGTTGTGAAATCCGCTTTAGAGTGGTAAATCTTAATCTTTGGGGGGATCACCAGCACCTTTCACCTCTTCCAGAAATGATGCTGCATGCAGTTTGTGGACAAAATCCTGGGAGGATGCCTAATGCAAAGCACCCTGTAAACATCATAGTTCATTGGTGGGGGAACCACTGGGATCACCCAGGAGGTCTTTAGACAGCAGGGCCTTCTCTCCACCTTCTTTCAATGCTCAGGACCCTACTGAGCCTGCACAAAGAACTCTTTGTTTTCAGCAGTGATTTACAGTTCATAGAAGAATTTCACTCACAGTATGTTATTTGCCACTTTTCCTCCTTCACAGGTGAAAGCAGCCGGAGGACTTGTGGGACTTGTCCAAGGTCTTCTCAGCAAGCCCAAGCCCCATCCTCGGGGTGGGTGGATGATGATGGTGTAGTTCTCTCATGTGATGAAGGTAATTCATTTGCTCCACTCGCAAAAGCTCTTGTCTTTCAGTACCTCGGCAGTTAGAGTTTGGACCTGGGGTACCTTGAGAGGTTCCTGACAGTTCTTAATAATGTTTGGCTCTTGGGCCTATGCTGAGCCCTTTATGATGACTAGCAGGATAGCAGTGCCGAGCCGACAGTCAGTGCTACACTCATCCTACTCTGACTCGACTGTGAGCAGGGAAGAGGATGAGAGAGTGATGAACCATGAACTGAGAGAGAGAGAGGTGAGAGAGAGAGAGAGACTGTGTGTGATATCAGGGATTGAATTCAGAACCTTTGCACTGAGCTACATCTCCAGCCCTTTAAAAAGCACGATTTTTTTCTAAGTTTTGAGATAGGGTCTCCCTAAGTCACTAAGTTACCCAGGTTGGGCTCGGACTTACAGTTCTCCTGTCTCAGCCTCCCGTAGTGCTGGCTGGGGTTATAGGTGGATAGGCATTATTCACCATCCCTGGATTCTGTGAGATTCTTGAACACCCCATTTACATCCACCTGACCTGAAAATATTCTGTTCACTCAACAAGTCTTTGTCCAGCAAAAGTTGAATGTTACAAAATGAACACATTAGGTCTCAAAACAATGAGCTAAGTCAAAAGTACTTTTAAATCAATCTGGAATAAATACACGTGTATATAACTAAAAAAGTTTTATGAAGTAATGCTCAATTTTATTACAACAGTGCAAATTGAATTTCTATGTAATTTTTTAGATTGATGACTAGAATTTAATGATTTTAGGACCAGTAAGCAGAATGATTTGAAAAAACAGTGCCTTAGACCAAACCAAAAGAAATAAAACTTCCAATGTAGTTATACAGTGAACATTTGCTAAAGATTTTACTTAACCTATTGCTGGAGAACCAGTCAGATATCATAGCTAGTTTGTAAGGGAATCCAAAGAAGAGTCCAGAAAACTGCAGGACAGGAATATTGATTTTTGTTTTTGAACTGGGAATCAAACTCAGGACCTTGTGCTTGCCAGGCAGGTGCTATGCTGCTGTGCTACATCCCCGGCCCTGGGATACTGAAATTAATGTGCAGGTGGAAGCAAAACTGATTCCTTTCACAGTGGGAAAATTTATTTACATATTTGTATTTATTTACATGAAAAGAGAACATTTATTTACTCATATATACACTAGAATATATTTATTGCAGTTATCTATAATTTATACAGTTGTAAAAATAAAATAAATGAAAGAATAGAATCAGATAACCTAGAAGGACTATGTTCCAGACAGTGCATGGTTTTTCCCCTGAAGCATATATTTTCCATTTGGTTGAATCATCAAAGACACACCTGTAACACCAGCTCTCAGGAGGCTGAGGCAGGAGGATTGAGAGTTTGAGGGCACCCTGAGCAAGATCCTGTCTCCAAATTGCCTCCAAACATTGCTGCATATGTTGCCCACGTGGCAGTAAGAGCCTAAGCCTGAGATAAGTACTGTAGTTAAGAGCAGACCAGCAGACAAAGAGAGGGTGGCAGCCTATTGAAGTGTTAGGCCCCCTTGCCAGGTCATAGCGAAGATCCCTCATCCTGTGTCAAGACAGAACTCCAAGCCAGTGCACCAGAAACCCCAGCATTCT